TCAATGCACCGCGATTGACTTTGAGAAAACGTACCTGGGGAGGCGGGCCGCCGTAGCCTTGTTGCGGGGGGTAGCCTTGCTGCGGGTAGTACCTGAATTGCGTGTTAGCTTGAGATGTGCGGTACGGGACTGTGCGTCGCGGGGGAACGAAGACAGAATCCTGCAAAGACGAAGCTGTCGCATAGGGAGAAGAGACGTACGCTTGCTGGGGCTGCTGGGGGCCGCCGTAGTATTGCTGGTTCGACATTTTTTCTGACTAGGTCGGCGGACGCGCGATAACGGTCTGGTGTGGGGGAGATGGGACGATGACGACACGGACTTGACGGTGCGAAGTCGGGCGGTGGGAGGGAAAGCGGAGTTGTGGTTGTTTGAGTCGGGTGTGAAGGATGATGAGATGGAAGAGAAAGAGGAAGATGAAAATACAGATGGTGAGTGGAGAGAGCGGGTGGGTGAGAGTGAGGCGGAGCGGAAGTGTAACAGGAACGAGGGTTGCAGCAGGGTTGGTGGTCGGGGCCAAGCAAGAGACAGAGACACAAGAGGGCCTGAAGCGCCTGCTGTGCAAAGGTGGAGGCGCAAAAAGTCTGGAGGCTTGGGGGAGGCGTCCAAGGGCGCGCGCGCGCTTCACGAGGTCGGAGTCTGGCCAATCGTCGAGTGCGGTTCACGGAGGAGAGGCTGCACGGCGTAGTCTGTGGACAACAAAGCATATATCGCAGTAATTACCCATATCCCGCAGACCATGTCGAGAGCATAGCTGAAGTCACACCGCACGTGTGCCCGAGGCGCAGCAATAGCAACAGCGTAGTGAGACCGTGCATTCGTCGTCAACCGCGACGACAGCAAGACAGCGGACATTCCGTGTGCAGGCAAGGTAGGTCCAGGATAGGCGCCGCCGCGGTCGCCGCCGCCGCCTTTTTGCACCTGCAGCAGCAGCAGCAGCTTCGACCAGTTCTTCCTTCCATCGCGTCTGCCACCTCCTTCTCCCATTCCTTCTGCCAGCTCCTCCTGCCCTCGCTTTCGCCCGGTAGTGCCGCCCGCAGGCCCGGCCCGCAGACCAAGGCCACGGGCCAAGGCGTCAGCGCAGTTCCCAAGGACGATCCTCAAATGGTGCACCGGGGACCGGCCACCGCGCTCAATTCTGAAACCACCTGACAGCGACTTGGTCAAAACGTTCCGTGGGCCGTTTTCGGAAAGCTCCATGTCCGCTGAGGTGGTCTGTTTGTCTCGCCCTGAACAGATCGACTTTGACGTGTCTCATCTACTGTGCTGCCTGGCCATGACTCGACATGATGGTTTGCTGCTCCGAAGGGGAACTGCAACAGTCCACATTCGTCTAGTTCGTCTAGTGACTGTTTCCAGAGTGTAGGGGGAGGGGGAGGGGTGGTGGTGGTAGTGGTGGTGGTCGCTTGGCGAGACCATCAGAGCCAGCATATCCCTGCCTCTGCAATAAAATAACACACAGCCACCCACCACCACACCACACACCACCAACCGTCGTGCGGGTCCTTTCCCTCGTGGTCGCACTTACCGAGCATCCTTCGGCAGCGCCGTGTGACTGATTGACAAACTGACTTCTGACCACCGGACCGATCATCTCCCCATGTAGATCTCTGTCATGCAGGGTCCCGTTTCTGCTCGCCATCACCTGAGCCTTTGCGAAACAGGACTGTGATCGGCGCCCAGCTTATTCCCGGGTGCACGAGGGATAGAGGAGAAGAACGGTGGTGACGTGCATACATGAATCTTATTGCTGACAGTAAATGAGTGATGAGGCGAACAACGACTTGCCATTCGATCGCCCCCATGACTTTCTCTATTGTACAGATTCCAAGCGTAACTCACTCCTGCACCCCCCTCAGCGCTGGGTTCCTCCTCTCTGCTGCCAATCAAGCGCGATATGGTATATATAATATAAGACATGGCGATCCCAAAACAATAATTTCCATCATGTGCAGCCTTCCTCTTGTCATCGACTTCTGGGGTATCTATGCGACATCGTTCGTGCGCTCCATCCGAATCTTGGTCGACCGAGCCTGTTTGCCTTGTTCTCCGAGGCACATGATTTCTCTTCCTTGCGACTTCTCTTCCAAATGACCAGCCATGAACGCCGAATTTTTGGTACATCCTAACCCGAGGATTTGAAATGCCTTGTGCGATTTTCTCATTTGTGCAATAGAAACGAACGCGTGACGCCATCCTGTACGTCGAAATGTGTTGAATGCATGTTTGCTGCCGTCTCGCGGCCTGAATTGCTCAAACGCCAGCGCTTCCATTTCACCTTCTACCTGACTTCGTAACTCGGGCGTGTTGGGAGCGCGTACTCGACTCCTTGCATTGGTGCGGATTGTGAAATCGAAGAGTAAGGTCCAGCGTGTGCGTGGTGTGGTTGGTGACTGTGCGATCCGCCCATCGTCGACAAAGACCCTACGTGATGACCATGGTGTTGCTGTGGCGGTTGGCCACCAGGCTGAGTTTGTTGGCTGAGCTGCGACGTGTACGCTCCATAGATGTGTGGTGTCGCAGGCTCCATGCGACGGAGGCGCTCGTGCATGACGCAGATCTCTGTTCTCAGTGCCTCGTTATCCTTGTGCAAATCCCTGGCGTATTCGAGGTCACCCCGGAGCCGTGCAATCTCTTCATGGAATGCTCGTTCCTGATCGCGCGAGCCGCGAATGTAATCGATGGCTGAAACTTGATTAGCCTATAATCAAATAGTCCAATGCGTTGCACGTACCTTTTGACAATATCTCCCACTTGCTCGCTTTCGCGCCTCCATTCGAGGGGACCGCCTTATTCAGTTCTTCGAAGAGATCTTTCATCTCGCTTCGCCTTTTTCTCTCGGCTAATTTGTGGCTCACTCGAAGTTCCGGGGTCCTGCTGTACCCGCCAGATGACGACAGGCCCGCAGCGTGCTCATTTTGTAACTGTGTCACTGTGCGATGTTGCATCGAGGGATGGTGACCCATGGACAGCTCTTGCTTTGACGGTGTACCGTCGTGACCTACCGGCCCAATGATTTTTTGAAAACCCATGCCTTCTTCAAATCTTCTCTGCCCAGGAGGTAGTTCGCCCGACAGGACGCTGCTCCGCACCGACGATGCTGCGTAGCTGCCTTGCCGCGACATCTTCTGGCTCTCTGCTGACGATTCGCTGCTCGAAGCCCGTCTCAGAGCCCTCTCTTCCGGGGACTGCCCCGTGCTGTCGGGAAACGCCCATGGGAAACCTTGGGTGGGTCTGGCACTGGTAGGATCGGGGGCACCGAATTGACGAGGATTGGGGACAATGGCGGGTGCTACTCGGGTCTTTTCGTGCTCGATCGACCTGTGCATTGAACGAGTGCCAACAGGAGAGGAGAGCTGCTGTTGACCGTCAGGCCGCCGTAAGCTCGAGGCCAGTGACACTTGTGAGGCATGCTGACTTTCGTATGGCGACATGGCGGGATTGTTGAGCGCAAGATTGTTGAAGTTGGAGTGCATACGGCTGTCGACGCTGCTGCGGCGCGATTCCATTGTGTTGTGGTAGTCGACGCTCTGTCGGGAAAGGCTGTCGCGTTGAGGGTGCGACTCGAAACCCTGGTTGATCGAAGGGAGGGCTTGACTCGCATGCGAAAGTCGCGCAGAAGTAGGCGTGCTGGGGAGAGAGCTACGCATTTGAGACTCTTCGGGATTCAGAAGAGTAGAGAGGTGCAAGCCATTGTTGTTAGCACCATTGTTCAGGGACGAGTCTGGAGAAATGTGTGTTAGCGACCCATAGCTGGGCGGGCCAAAGCGAACAATAGGCACTTACGTTTGCTTTGCGAATTTATCCATGCTCCCGAGTCTCTGGCAGGGGGCTGTTGGTATTGCTGATGTTGCGCATGAGGCGAGGGCTGAGACGCGGGAGGAAGCCCATTCGTCAACGAGGTGATGGAGGGCAATGCGTGAGGTGGAGAATGCTGCTGAGCAGCGTGATGTGTCAAAGGAGACTCCATCGTGCCTTCAGTGTGCCGCCGTCTCCGAAAACCCCAGTGGGGTGTATCTGGAAAAGGCTGGAGTGAAGGCCGGGTGAGGTGTCAGGCCAAATTTACGAGTGGAGATCCACCTTCCGCTGACGTGGTCCAGGTTGAGGTAGATGGGAATTCGTGGAGAGATATGTCAAGGAGATGGTCGGGGGAGCGGCTTAGGTTTCAGCGCAACTCGGCCGAGTAACGTTGTGTGATTGTTACGAGACACGATTCGCCGAGCCCGTCAACAGACTGGTGAACCTTGGACCCCCGAGGAAGCGGTTTGGAAAGGCTGCCAAAATTGGGGCGGAAGTACGACTGGAAGGGTGGAATCGATCGAGTCGGCACGAACGTGGTGATGGATGTGCGGATTGCGCGTGGAGCCGTTGGAGCGGTGACAAGTCAGGAGCGCACAGCCAAGGCAAACCCAAGTTACGTGCGCGCACAGTCCGCGTGGTTCAACGTTCGACACAACGGCCGGATGTGTTGAAAGGAGGGGCGGGCGCTCGAGATAGGTGCAAGGTAAGCCGTTCGAGGCGGGTAAGCCTGTAGAGGTGTGCGTGCAACGGTCCGCGGGAGCCAGACACGGTCAGCTGCGAGGACTGTAGAGAGCAGTGGATACCGGGGTGAGACTTCGATGGTCTCCCGGCAGGGCTGGTGTCAGCGTCGGCGATGAGAAGAGGCAATGCTCAGTGCGAAAGCGAGAAACAAAAAAAACGAAGAAGACGGATGCGGCGAAATGGTCGAGTGCGGGAGAGACACAGACACGAGGCAGCAGGGGAGGGCCAGGGTTTTGTGATACCTGGACGGTTGTGGTGTAGCGTGGGTCCTTGTAGGTGGCCTGCGCTTTGGACGGACCCGGGGTTGGCGAGTGGGTAGTAGAGTAGTATTCAGCGGCGGTGTTGGTGCATCTGAGAAACGGAAGATGGATTGAATTCAAAAGGCTTTGGGTCGGGAGCGGTGCCTTGCATAAGAAGGAACGTCGGTACGCTGATGATGTCGTGAGGAAAGAAGAGACAAAGATCTGGCGGAAGACAATCGTGCGCGTGCCGTGGAGAAGTTTTCGGAAAGGCTACCGAGACGCTGGCGGCCGTTGCGCAGTCAGTAGTACCTCAGCCGGGCGAGGGCGATCGAACCAGACGGCAGCTGACGGCTGGCTTGAATCAGAGGCAGGGGATAGAGGGAGATATTGGTTTTGGGGAAGGGAAAAGTCGCATGGGGGTGGAGTTGGAGGAGGCAAAAACCAGAGTGGAGCATGGGAGCATGGGAACGAGCATGGGAGCCGGCATGCGAAGAAGCATGGACATAGAGGTACAAGGCGCAGGGACAGGAGGGTTGGGGGCATGGCCATGGCAAGAAGCATGGGCGGCGGCACAGCGACAAATGCGGAACGGCGGAGACCTCTGGTACCAGCCTTGGGACCTTGAATACCTTAACAAGCGACCTGGGCGGCAGAAGCGGCGGCGGACCACAGGCGACGGGCGACGGAGGACGGACGGCGAGGAGCGACGGAGCAGGAACGACAGGCTGGCCAGCAGCATGTGTGCGACTCCGACAAAGTCAATGAACACGGTCCACGGCGTTGAAGGTTGGAGCATGGAGCATGGAGCATATGCTGAGATGGTGGTTGGAAGTGGTCCTTGCGCCGAGTGTATAGCAGTTGTACCACGCATTTGCACCATCCGGCCCATGTTCCCCCCCCCCACCGCTGCAGCCCACTCGAGGCTCGTCAGACAGCCAAGGCCTGATTTGTAGAGCAGCCAAGGGAAAAGAAATGAGGTGAAGGACAGACGCATCAGCAGTGCATGCCCTATCTCCACATTGCCTATACAAGGACCGGACCATGTCAGGTCGGGGTCATCAAGAGCAGTCGCGGGTGGTCAGATCAGGCTCGGGTTGGACTGACCTGGTCAGGCAATACGCAAGGCCCGAGTCAAAATTCAAAAAACAAGGGCCAGCTTCTAGAGTTAAAGTGCAGGCCTGACGGCGTGCGGCGTGACACGGTGACACTTTCTTTTCCTTCCTTTGGCTCCACCGCGCGCAGAACAGAGTTTGACGCACGAGCGGTCGGTTGGAGATAACCGGCCACTGCATCGCATAATATCGTCAAGTACCAGTGACTTGTACAAGTCAAACCGAGCACGGGGAACGCAGACGATCCGGGTTGAGGTTATTTGTCCTCGTCTCGTGCGCGCCTCTGCGCCTTGTTCTTGCCGCACCAAGATCATCGGCGCGGCGGGCATACAAATAGGCACACTGGTGGTATTTACAGAACGGAGCAATGCAACATCCTGTGTGATCAGTGACTGTGCGGTACGGTGCAACGTGGGACATGACTTGGATAGCGGTCCATCAAAAACTTACAAGGACCAAGGCTCCGAGAGCAGGCGCCAAGCTGAACAGTCGTCTGCCAGAATCATTCGTAGCCGGATCGTCGTTGGGGTAGATTTTACGTTCGGCAATCTGGACAGTGGGGATGTTGGAGAAGTGTAGACGATCTTGAGTCGTTTGACAGATGCGCAGCAAGTGGCAGATGATTGATGATGGATGATGAGATGGTGATGGCCCTGGGGGGGGGTGCTCAAGGCCGGGATCGACATCGATGGAAGAGAACGATTTGAGTTGGGGCGTGCAACTTTCCGTAAAAGACACCGTGATCGACGGCGGCAGCGGACCGCAACCAGTCAAGGCAGGGCTATGGACTAATATGCTAACTAATACGACTCATCTATCTGACTGGGCGTGTCAATTGGCTTTCACCCGTCGCCCGAAACGTGGATGAGGTGGATGCTACATTGGAGATACTGGGTGCTGCTCGGCCAGCTGCAGTGGTTCTCCCCGGCCCGAGACAACATTTTTGTTCGGGGGCTTTTCATTGGGCTGGGTTACGATGTGCTAGGCGTTGAGCTGCGCTGAGACGGGATCGGATAGTGCCAATTGCAGAGATGCGACACGGAACATTCCACAAGTACGTCGAGTACAGTGCTTGGAGAACAGAGACAGCAGCGTGCTATGGCAGCATCATTGTCACACGGCAGCAAGTCAGACATCGATCAGCGAAGCTGGAGTCGATCCAATCATGCATATCCACCGACGCTCGGTCATTTCGCCCGCCCTGCCCTGACCCTGCCCGGCTTTTTTGCCTTTCTGCATGCCTGCACTCTACCCCCCCTTGACCTGCGCTTCCGTAGTCTTCGCCACAGCCACAATCCACCAGAACGTGTCAAGAGCCCATTTGGTTTGTTCCATCAGCGCGCCGTCGCGTGGACTGCGCTCTGGCATCTTGGTTCTTTCCGTCATCGTCACGGACCACGCTAGCACATGCATCTCGTACCGTCCTATCGTGAGTCGGGAACTAGGCCGTTGCTCGCAACAGTTGCCTACCTGCTGCCCTACTACCTTTGACCGCTTCGACTCACTCTGACTTCTCCCGTCGCTCCACCAGGCTTACCGTCACTGATATCAAGCCTCGCCGTTTTCAAGTTCTCGAGTTTGCCCGCATCGGGGACTGCCAGTGCTGCGCTAACTAACATATGCACGCACGCGGCACGCCACCACCCTGTATCGGCTGCCCTCTCCGGGGCTGTTTAAGCTGGTGGCGCTAACCTGGCTGGCCGCACTTCTCCATCAGCAGGCAATTTATCGACAGCCGATCAGGACTGTGCTAGAATTCAAAAATAGTGCCGCAGATTTCATGCCTTCACTCAGCTCGCCTGCTGCATACACGTGTCACGACTCGACATACAGCCATGTATGTCGACATGTAGACGCATGGAGTGCGTCCCGCGGGTAATTCACGTACCTCGCGTTATTGAATCATCTTCTACTTGTGTCCTTGCTCCAGTACTTTTCGGGAGCTGCCGTTCGTACTGTACAATGCCTTCGAGACCTGTGCTTGACTATCTAGACGCCAACCATTACCATGTGCTGCGACTGCGGGCGCCGCCACCGACATTATTGCGACCCTCCCGATTGGTTCGTAATCTCGCATGTGGCCAATCTGTACTGCATACCGTTCAAATTAACCTCACGGCGCTTCTACCGCAACGAATTCTCTTAAAATGATGACAAGGCGACAGGCAGGACCGCGGATGCGCCTCCAGGCCTTTGGCCAGTAATGCTCCACCCACAGGCGTGCAAGCATGTGAGCAGACCAGGGCACTAAAGTCCCCACAGCGGCAGCAAAGCTACGGTACTCAGGCCACTCGCCCACTCGAGTAGACCGGGATGGAGCATTCGGTCGGAACTGCCTCCCCGTTGCAGCCATGCTCTCCTCACTGGGCGTGCATTATCGCCTGCATATTACCCTGTGTGCTGCCAGGTATGTGCGTGTTGATGTGCATGCTTGCCGCTTTGTTGTGTTTGTACAACAGATTCATCCCTGTCCGTTTGCAATACGGGCGTGGCTTGATTACGCTTACTCCCTAGCCCCGCGCATCCGTCGTCTGCTTCGAATAGACTCCATCTCTTGCTTTCATGGACGGAGCTGTGCCGCTCACGCCATCCAGATGCACTGATATCATCGCACAAGTAATCGACAGGGTTTGGAGCGATGGCCACACCGTCTCGATTCCATGCCTGGACTGCTGGACTTGCCGCTGTGATCATGATAGTCAGGCATGCAGCGGGCTCAGCCGAACGCGGTACCAGTGGAGCAAGTACCGGGTAGATCTACTTCCGGGGTGCACGGCCTTGCACTTCCGCCTGCTAACGCATCGTGGCTTGCTGACTGGAGTCCGTGATCTTCATTGCTTGCTTGACGGTTCGCATCGAACTCATGGCCAATGGACCGCATTTACGCCGAAATGGTCATCTCGAACCGCGCCGCACTTGACGGCGGCAGCCCAAATCGTCGCTTGTTCACAAATCTCCCTTTCGCCAATCCCACGGTATCATTCCCCCTGATTCGGCTACCAGAACGCGGTGGCTACAGTACAATCGTCTTGTAACTCACATGGAGCAGACCGGTAAGCACGTGGACAGGTGACAGTCGCGCCTCCGACCCACGCAGCTGACCGCTCGTTGCTGGCAGCCAAGTCCTGCCTATCCCTTCCGTGCAAAGACGTCATCTGGCACCATGGCTGCCTCGCGCTTTCCACAGCCTTGTGCAGTACAGTACAAGATCCACGATTGCTCGAATCCCATGGAGCAAAGTCATTGGTCCGCAATTCCAGGCGTGCCCTGAGATGGTCGGATCTGCATCCGAGCTATTGGATTCTCCGAATCTTCTCCAGTCGCCATGTGAAACTCTTCCTCTTCAGGCCGCCTAACCTCGCCTATGGCGTGTTGTGCGGCAGGGCCAGGTAACTAGGCATCCATGACTGAAGCGGCGCTGGATAGCGTCTGCACGGAAGAGGCAATTCGCCCGACCTATGCCGCAGCGTTATTCCCTCTTGCCCCCTTCAGCTGGTCGCCTCGCTGTCTCGATTCCTCCTGTTCCTGCCGAGCCACCGTGCCACTGGCCTCAGCTCTAGGCGAAACCCCTTGCAGATCGCCATCAACCTCGTCAGCCTGTGGTGGTGTGTTCACTAAGCCGCTGCGAGCCAAACCTCACTCAACCCTGCTGCATCCTGCTGTGGTGCCCCATACTGCGCCTTTCCCCGCTCGACCCACCAGTTCAGCGCAATTCGGGCAACGCACATGTGCGCACAGAAAATCAAATGGCCGAACAGTGGCTCTAGTATCTGCAGGGATGTGTTGACGTCTCACCATGTGCCCTACCATGCCCGTACCCGTGCTATGCTTGACAATTCAGTACTATACCATGTCATGTTCGAAGCAAAAACCTGGTCGCCGGGGCCGAGCCAAGCCTCCCTGACCTGTCCGAGTCCAGCTGTGGTCGCCTCTAGCAAGATGCAGCTCAAAGAAAGGTGCGGAAATCGTCCGCTACGCCATCTTTCCATTAGTCACTGCTTGTTCCCCAATCGAGCACCATCTGTCCCAGCGGGCTGAGCTAGAGAGCTTAATCCCACCCACTCTTTGCCGGCGATTGGGGGCATTCCGTGATGGAGCTTGAAGACACAGCCTCGTCTCCACCATTGACTTTGGCGTGGACCGCGCAAATGGCCGGGCGCCTGTCGCTGCATGCCACAATAGCTAGTGCCAGGCGCATCTGCAGGTCCAATCGGATTTTCGGTATACCATCGATCCATCTACCTGACGTGTTGTGCTACCCTCACGACACGAACCCTGCAAGTTATTGCATTCTGAGCTCTGCGGTCCTGCTATCTCGCGGGATCGGCGTCGGCATCGGCCCACCGGCGCGTACATATCTCGCGCTTATATCGGACGAAATTGACAGTCCATAGGATCGACCTGCCGCGCTTGAACACCAGACTCAAGCAGCATCCGGCCCGAAATGATCGGATGCAGCCATCCGCCTGACACCGCCTAAGACATGCCAAGCGACCTGTACTTCCCGCTGACAATCGCCCACTTTGGTCGTATGCAAGCGGTCGGAACTCCGGCTATAGTCCCGACTTCCCTTACCTACCCTGCGATCGGCGCGCAAGCATTTTTTCCTGTACGTAGACACACAGGCAAGTGGTAACGAAGCCGTCGGCCAACAGCATTAGCGTAGGCTTGACCGCTTGGTGACGAGCTGGACTAGTCCTAAAACTCCAAACCCACTGACGCTGAGTTGGTGTTGAGCGCTGTGGTATTGTCCAACAGAGCTCATCGTTAGCCTTGACGCCATTCACGACGCCTGGACTGCTTATGGCTTGCTATGTCGAATGCGGCGCCGCTAGAACACAACGGACTCGAGCGTACGGTCAGGCACTCGGCGAGCCTTGTGGCTACCGCCTCTGGCCCGCAGCGATGGCGCATCACAGAGACGGAGC